CTCTTTGCACCTCTCCCACAGTCTGCCTCCATCCATTCCCCACCTTCTGCCACCCCAGACCCACGCTCAGACCTGGAGCTCTGGGTATTTACCCATTTCATCCCGTGGGCTGGCCCCACAGTGCCTCTGCACCTCCTGCCAGGGTCTGTCACTCCTCCTTCCCACCCAGGGTTGTGTCTGTGCTCCTGTTCCCTTCCACTGCTCCAGACTATGTACTCTGTGGTTACTTGTCCCCTATAAAGATTCTTATGTCTCTGAAGTTGCCTGTGTTAGCATCATGCTTCTTTGTAGTACAGATGGGCGAAGTGACAATGAAAGTTAATGCAGGATCAGCCAGGAAAAAAAAAAAAAAAAAAAGAAAAAAACCCACCAAAACTAATCTGGATGCAAATCCTTGCTGAAGTCTTTTTCTCTTCCAGAAACACTCCAGGAGTCACACTAACACATAACAGGAAACCAAATCTATAAAGAAAGAGTATTTGCATCCTGGTATCCTGCCAGACATTGCAAGCCCTCAGTGACTACACAAGCTTTGTTCAACTGCCTTTTTAGCAGGCATTTCTCTCTAGGAGAACTCCACACTTAATTCAGCACAGCTGTCCCTGGGTGTGCAGACTGAAGAGCAGCATGCACAGGTACCACCATTTCTACATCCCCTCACCCCCCACTTCCTAAAAGGAAGCCAGGCGTGAGCTGAGCAGGAGGAGGATATCTCTGGCTTTACCTGGGGATGCTTGGGTTGTTTTGCAATTCCCATAAGGACAAAACTGATATTTTAAAGGGGAGAAACAGGTGAACTACCACAAACATTGCATAGCTTATTACCTTGTCATCATCTACATTTCTGAAATACCCTCATGACACATGAATAACAGTTACTTTTGCTCCTGACATATGGATTTGCGATGACAATAGGAGGGCAAACAGAGCATGCCAGCATCAACGAGTGAGAAACAAGAATGTGAGAAATCTCAGGAAAGAATAAACTGCAATTATGAGATTCCTACTCATCAGCTGGGGATCAGCTACACTTTACACTTACAGTACTCTGGAGAAGGTCAAGCTCTCACCAGATTGAGGAGAGCTGACTGCAACTTCTGAGCAGCATCTTCAGTGCTGTGAGCCACTGGACAAACATGGTTTGAAACAAAGGCAGCTTTGTGGTGCCTGCAGCCCTGCCCCATGCAGCAGTGAGCCAGCTGCAGTCGAGTGGGAGAACAGGGGGTGAGAGAAAAACCTCTGTGTCCTTTTAACTTCTGCTAAAATGGGGTTGGTTCATCTTTTTACCACCTGTCTGGTTTTCATCACACTAAGTACATACTGAGACACTTTCACCCTGTACCATCATGTACGGAAGGTGCTAGTATCCCAGGGCAGACATGATGGTCAGAATCACCAGCCAAGAGGTGTAAAACCAATTAACTATGACCAAAAAACACTTCACGGCAGCCTCTCTGGCTATTGACTCATGCCACCATGGCACTGAGTGAAGTCTTTTAGATGAGATTATTACTTACAGCACCTTCCATACAAAATGCTACTGCATTACTTGTACTAGCAACTACATTAGGAAAAGCAATAAAGTGCCCGATAAATGCTCTTGATACTTTATAAAGAACCATCTAAAAATTAATAATGCCAATAACTAAAATGCAGGACATTCCAGGAAAAAAATGTTTTGGCATTAAGAAGAGAAAGAAATCATGGCTAAGGCTGCCATAGCAACATCGCCCCAGCACTATGCATGCTGAAACATCGACTCTTCCTGGAAATATTACAGCATTTTAAAGCACATTAATTGCTGAAGGAATCCTAACAACAAGGCTTGACAGAGATAAGGGTTACTGACAGCTTTGCTGATATATGACTTC